TCTTATCAGTAAAGCCGGTTCTGTAATCAGCGGTAAATCTCCATCACCTGCGGGCTTTCACATTGAGCAGCATTAACTACACAGAGCCGTTGTTCACTGACGAGTAGCGCAAAAAATCGCGCGAAAATGAACGTGGTTTTGCGCAACTCGTCAGTGAACACCGGCTCTGTGTAGTTAATGCTGCTCAGTGTGAAAGCCCGCAGGTGATGGAGATTTACCGCTGATTACAGAACCGGCTTTACTGATAAGATGCGCGTTAAATATCGCATGCGATTTATAGTGCAGCCCTATTAAAAAATATCTAGTGCTCATCGGACCGCCGCTGGCAGGTAATAACACAAGATAAAATAGAATATAAATATTAGATGCGAAAATGAGAAATACTGAAAAGAACTGAAATTAAGATAATTAAAACTGTAATAAAAAAATTTTTTTTTAAATATCCGGTGCTCATTGGACTGCCACTGACAGGTAATAACACAAGATAAAATGAATGAATATTAGATAACATCATTTTAAAATTGAATTGAATTAAATTAATTTAATTAAAATGTAGTCGTATTAAAATGACTAAAAATAAAACTGAAATTAAAAATAAATGTCCGGTGTTCATCGGACTGCCGCTGGCAGGAAATAAGATAACATAAAATAAAATATAACTATTAGATGAAAAATGCAAAAAATTAATGAAATGAAAATTAAAAAAATTTAAACTGAAATAAAAAAAATAAATGTCTGATGCTCATCGAACCACCACTGGCAGGTAATAACATAAGAAATTACAAAATATGAATATTAGATAAAAAATGTAAATGAAAAATAGAAATAATGAAAATGACTAAAATTAAAACTGAAATAAAAATACATGTCCGGTGCTCATCAGACCGCCTTTGGCAGGTAATAAAACAAGATAAAATATTAAATTAAAACTGACATTAAAAAAAACTATAAATTAAAGTGAAATTAATTAATAATTAATATTTAATAATAAAGAGCAAAAACTAATAAAAGTTTCAAAAGCACATCAGGGTTATTAAAGTTAACTAAAACTAAAACAATAAATAAAATAAATGTTAACGTAAATATAATAAAATTAAAAACTTGTTTTATTTCAGCTAGTTGCCAAGGTGACATCTCATTTTCATTAAGTTTAACTTGATGTATTAAAATAACTAAAACTAAAACTGAAATAAAAATAAAAGACATGTTTAAAAAACTAAAAATAATAAAAATGACAAAAACACAACAAAATTAAAAATTAAAACAGAAAATATAAAAAAATATATAATATTGATGACAACTATAATAGTATTTCAGTGATTTTAAAATAACACTGCAACATAACAAAAATTACAATGATATTGGAAAATAAATAAAAATATATAATAATACATAAAAATATAAATAAAAACATTCAAAATATTAATAAAAACTTAAAAATAGTATCTTAATGACACTAAAATAACACTAGGGCGCAATACTAAATTACTAAAATGTGAAATTAAAATGAAAACCGGAAATGTAAAAATAAAAGCTAATTCAAAAATTAATAAAATAAATAATAATACTGAGCTAAAATAGATCAGTTTCTCAAATCTTCACTACACTTACCAAGACTTAAAAACACTAAATGTCAGTGCTTCACATTTCTTGTCTTTGTTCTCATTTCTAAACTCTCTTTTTGAACAGAATATTCCTTTCATACGTTCACATATATCTGTAATTGTGTCCTGGCAGATGCTGAGCTGAACTCATGAACGTATTGATTTACAGGGAAGCTAGTGGACATCACAAAGAACTACAAGTACATGTACCTGTGCTGCGGGTCGGTGGTCGTCCTTTCCAGCGTCTGGCTCTTCATCGGCAACTTCATCAACTACCGGCTGCTGGAGCGCGAGCGCAAGCGCATGCAAGAGGAGATGTACAAACGTGCCGACTGCGAGGAGCAGACGGACGCAGACGCAGACACGGCGCAGCAGCTCTGCGAGAACAAAGACGGCGTCATGCAGCACGAAACCAACATCTGAACGCCTATGCAAACAGTGAAGACACTGCCAAAGAGGTCTACAGGCTTAATAAACGCGCACTTTGACATAGACGGCCTTTATAGCTTGGTATCGGTCATTTCTCGTGGCTCAGGTTCAGCAAACGCCCGTATTTGACAGCTAAACAGCACTCCGTTTTATACGTTCACACACACACACACACACACACACACACACACACACACACACACACTCACACACACTCACACA